ATCTAACCTTCTCTTACTAAATTTTGATGAACCCAGGCAAGGACCATGATTTATACACCTTTGCATTCCTACCATCTAGTATAGAAGGGGTTCAGTCTGTTCTTGTTGAATGAAGGGGAGGGAGGAATGTTTTCTGCGGATCGTATCTATTTCTACTCCAGGGAATTTCACTGCTACTACTTAATTTCTCCAGTTGTTTTTCTAAGGATATTTTCCAAACTTCTGTAAATGGTCATTTTTCTTTTCCCCAGTGTGCTAACCTAAGGGATTTTTATTACAGTGTGTTAATGAAACAACTCCAGGTTTCAGAAAAGCAATTTCTCTTCACTTTGGCATTCTCATACTTGGATTTATGTGGAAAGAAATACTTAATAATGAGGAAAAACCTGTTTAGAAATAGTAGTGTAAATCATTCAGCAGCAGAGAAAAGTGATATATAAGCCATATAATTAGCAATCACTGTTTCATATTTATTTTTTCTGGGCTGAAGTTCAGTTCCTCCTTGAAAAACTGAAACAAATAATAAACCTTATGCATACCCACCAGCACATATGTGTTGGTACACACAACACACACATATACACGCACACACAGGACCCATGAATAGACATTCGTCATCATTCAAGGGTATTCTGTTAACATTTTTCTCAAAAATTATCAAAATAACTTTTAATAGTCTCAAGTCAAACTTCAACTCATTAGTAGCTAAATTTTCCTTTTTATTTATTTATTTATTTAAACAATTTTAATATTTTATTTATTTATTTTTTCGAGAGAGTGGAAGGGAAGGAGAAAGAGTGGGAGAGAAACATCAGTGTCTGGTTGCCTCTTATGTGTCCCCTGCTGGGAACTGGCCTGCAACCCAGGCATGTGCCCTGACTGGGAATCGAACCGCAATACTTTGGTTCGCAGGCCCGTGCTCAATCCACTGAGCTATGCCAGCCAGGGCCTCCTTTTTATTTTTGTTGCTTTGTTTTCTAAAATATGAAATTCTTTTCAGATGAGTGTATATAAACTGATAAAGAAACAATTCACGGATTGCACACCTTCAATGAATGTTCAAAGCCATAGATTTATTTCAATCTCAGAGTTTATTAGATAAAATTGACAAGGTAGTCGAGAGATGGGAATGTGGACTCAGCTCTGTCTGGGACAAATTCTCAGTTTGGTAGTTGGGGTACTGGACCTATTCTCTCCCTCCTCTTTAAGACATTAAAGGAAGGCCTCTTACAAAGATTGTGTGGGAATAAAATGAGATAATATCTGAAAGTGTTTTCAAATTACAGAACTAGAAAAATTAAGTGGTGGTCTTATACTTACGATAATTGAAATAATAAGAAAAATAAGTTTTTTAAAAATCATGCCGAATGCATCAAAATGGCTGTGCTTTTTATGCAGAAAATGGATAAGATCCCACATTAGAAGTTTAGTTGATTCAGTATTCAGAGAATGAGCTTGGCTTTTCCATGTACAGAAATGTGGCATTTTTAAAAGGTGCCCTAAGTGGAATATACTAATGTATTCTTAAGGTTTTCATACATTAATGGGGATCCATTAAATGATTATCCTCCCACTGGATTTTTTGAATTTTCTGTAAAACTAGCAATTACAGCAATTCCACGAAGAGAGTACATTTTAAGATTCTTTGCTGCTCTAAATTAAAGTTTGGCCGATTCCGTGGATCAGTCAGATTCTGTGAATCAATCACATTCCCATATTGTTTTCCTCATTGTCCATTTTTATTGTTTTCCTCCTGGATGAAAGAAGAAACAACAGTAAGTGTAGAATCTTGTAGCCAAGCTAGGTGAATTTAAAGAATTCTATGGTCACAATGAAAATTTCCAAGTGAAGGAGTCACAAAACCTTCCCAGACTTTGCAGTGTACCTTTGATTTAAACAAAAAAGACCCATTTTTAGGAAATACAGTCTTTAGTCTCCTTTAAAATTGGGATAACTATACTATATATTAAAACACAAGTGGTGATATTTTTTAAAGCACAGACCACTCAACTCAAGAGCTGTGAGACTATCTTCATTCAGAGCATCTGTGCATCTGCAGACATGAAGGGGCGGAGACAGAGTTTTGTGTGTGTGAATTACATTTCTATGTGTCCCACACAGGTATTGCTACCTATGAGCTCCTGCCCCTGGCTACTTGGCTCCGAGCACCTTGTTCAGGAAAGGCTGAATGTAATACATTACTGAACAGAAAAGCAGTTTGTGCAGAGAGACACAGCACCGATTGTCATGTCTTCAGTGGTTAGCGGCTTGTCCATTTTCTGGATGGTCCCCTCATTCGCAGTAACTTGCCGTGTTGGCTCCAAGAGTCAGTTCAGCAACAGTCACTTCCTGCTTCACAGGACCCCCAGCTTACCCCCCGGGCCAGGACTGACTGTTCACCTTTCACTGGCCATATTCATGACTCACACAAATATTGGTGTGTGCTTCCTCTCAGGTGCTGTGCTGGGCCCGGAGGAATCGACCATGAATAACACAAACATTCCCTGTCCTCTTGGGGCTTATAGTCAGGGGCCTGCTTGTTCTAAGCTTGAAGGTAAAACCCCATTTAAGCCAGAACTACCAGAAAGTTTGATTTTTTCAGAGCAATATCAGAGGATACCCCCCACCATAGTGGATTTGGGTCCTGACTCTCTTCCCTGTGGGAAATTTAGCATCACCAGAGTCCTAAGAACATTGTAGTCGACACCAGTTTGATTTTTATAATATCTCAAGGAGTTCTTATGAATTAAGTACAGCATTTATAAGCCCAGCAAGAAGACACTGAATGAAAATACAAGAAATGAATTATAACTGAACATCATCTACAACTGAAAAATAATTTCCTGTAGCACAGAAGCCTAAAGTTGAGCTTCTACTTCTGTCAGCTGTATAAAAATATTGAATTGTTTCCAAATAGTACTATAAGGAAAATTCAACCACAAAGGTCCAGTGTATCTGTGAATATTCTCTTTTTTTAATTGTCCAAGTACAGTTATCTCCATTTACACCCTACCACACCCTCCCTGCCTCACCAATATCCACCTCCCACCCTTGAACCCACCCCCCTTTGACTTTGTGTGTCCTTCACACATGTTCCTTGATGGCCTCCCCATTATCTCTCTGCCCCCTCCTCTCTGGTTACTGTCAGATTGTTTTTTATTTCAGTGTCTCTGGTTGTATTTTGCTTGCTTGTTTGTTTTGTTGATTAACTATAAAAGTTTAAATGGCATGTAGTCTGGAAAGCTTTGTGTAAGAAAGAGGTGGATAAACCGTCAGCCACTGGGTTAATTCCACTGGTTTGGCTCACTGTTTTCTCATCTTTATTCTCCTTCCTTCCAGCCTTCTGCCTGGAAAATGGTGATGTCCTTTTGGCCAGAGTCATAGGCCAAAATCTGTTGGGTGGTTATCAGGGGGGAATACCTAGATTATTTCCCCATCTAAATTGTGTGCTGATAAAAAGTCCATGGGAGGCAAAGGCTTGGGGCCCTTTAAAAATGCTTTGCCTGTGTTCCTTCTGACTAGTGTTTTTGGATTATTAAGATATGTTGCCACAAGTGGGATTTCTGGGTCAAGAGGCAGTTTTCTGGGTCAAAAAATTTTTAATTTTTTTAGAAAGAATATGTGCACCCACCTCTATGTACATAGCAGCATGATTTACAGTAGCCAAGGTCTGGAAACAGCTCAAGTGCCCAATCAGTAGATGAGTAGATTAAAAAGCTGCAATACATTTACACAATGGAATACTACATAGCAGTAAAAAAGAAGAAATAACTCTTACCTTTTGTGACAGCATGGATGGACCTGGAGAGTATTATGCTAAGTGAAATAAACCAGTTAGAGAAAGACAAATACCATGTGATCTCACTCATGTGAAATCTAATGAACAAAATAAAGTGATGAACGACATAAAGCCAGAGGAACGAATGCATAGAAAAAACAAATGGACCTCAGCGGGGAAGGGGAATGGGGAGGACTGCAAGAGATCTGCCAAAGATCGTGTGTGTGTGTGTGTGTGTGTGTGTGTGTGTGTGTGATCTCCCATGTACAGACAACAGTGTGGTAAAGGCTGCCAGAGTGGTGGGCTTAATGGAGGAGGGAAGGTAGGGTGGGGAAATGGAGAACATATGAAATAGTGTCAACAATAGAAAATAAAAAAGCCAGGTTTATGAAAAAGAAAATGCTTTACCTGATTCTGAGCCAGGTTTAAATCTCACATGTCTTAAATCCCTCCATCTGCACCACCACCAGCTTCCCTTGGCCTGGATAACTGAGAGCATCTCTCCCTCACTCTGCTTTCTCAGTAACTCTCCCTTAGCATCCATCTCCCACAAAGCAGCCAGCGCAATCTTGGCAAACTCAAACCCAAATCCAAATGACTTCTTTGTGTTCCTAGGTTAAATTCAAACTGTCTTGTGGAAAAGTGCACACTCTGGCCCCTGTTCACCTTTCAACCTCTTCTGATGCCAATTTCACAGTTAATACATTCCAGCCACTCTGCTCTTCTTTCTGTCCCCCAAACACAGGCCATGCCAATCAACTTCCCAAATTAGGGCCTTTGCACCTGGAACCTCATCCCATGCTCTTACCTCTCTGGGTCCTTCTTCACATCTTAGCTCACAGCTCTCCTCCTCAGAGAGACCTTATCTTGACCTCTAGTGTGTACCCCTACCCCATAAGACTTTTTTCCACTACTTTGTTATCTTCAGAACACTCATCACTATCTGAATTCTCCCCCCCCCTTTTAACTTTTTGCCTATTTTTAAAAACATTTTGTAAAGGCCATTGATATCTCTTCAGATCACAGCAGGCTCTTCGGTGCCTGGCACACAGTGGGACATTTGTTGAATGAACACATTCACATATAGTGGCTCAACTTACTGTGGGAAAACACCCCAAACTTAAACTCTGTACAAGCTCATATGTTCTAAGTTACAACTCAGTTGAAACCACAGGGAGACTTGGATATACTTTTCAATTTAGTTTCTTTTTTTCTGTTTCAGTCCTCCTTAATAAATAGTGACATTATCTTTGTGAAGTTGCATGCCCCGTGGGAAGTGCTTGGAAGATATGCAGAACAAATGAATGTAAGAATGCCCTTCAGGTAGGTGTACACGTATTTTCCTCACTCTGTCTGCTGCTTCAGTATAAACCTACTGTGCTCCTCTCAGGACAGATATAACTGAAATATAGACTGGAATGCTCTTAGAGAAGAAAACCCATCAGATGTTTAGGAAGGGCCATGGGTCTTCATAGCCAATAATGATTTCATGGCTTTTGAGAAAATTCCTGGCTAATCCATTTCTTAGCAATTGAATATGTCAAGTGTCTGTGAAGAGAATTTTCTGAGTGGCATTTCCATTTCCAAAGTGCCATGTTTGGAAGGCTTTGTACGGCTGCTTTGATGAGTCGGGTTCTGGGCATCAGGGGTGCTTGGTGAAGTTCATGGTCCTTCCTGACAGGTTCCTTTCAGGGAAAAAAAAAACACATTAAAATCTGCTTCCGTAGGAACAAGCTCAAGAAATTTCATTAAAATGTTCTCTATGTTTTTAAATAACCATTTTTTTTTAATTTTAGAAAGTCAGTTTGTAAATACTGTGCAACCACAGGCATTGTTATGAATTTCAAGAGAAAATATTTTGTGTGGATGGCTTAGCTATTTAAAGGGATTAATTTACCTTCATCCCACAGTGAATATTCTTCTTTTCCCTGTAGGATAAGGAAAAGTGATTTTCCTTTGCTAGATAGAAATAAAATAAAGCACTAAACTTGAAAGTATAAATGCCCAGATGTGTAGGAAGTCCATAATGGAACCTTGTAAAGGAGACAGAGGGTTTCAGGACCAAGGACAGTTCCAGAGGGACTAAATCATTACATACTTCTGGTGTGTAGTTGGCCACTGAGACCAAGTCAGCCAACAGGAACTAGGCAAACTGGTGCCAGTTCTAAAATGTACCTCTTAATTTAGCTGTGGAAAGTAAGAGAGACGAAGAACCCGCTATATTCATAGAGACAGAGAGGAACTAGGGACACATTTAGGGAAGGGCAATTTCCATTTATAGTCCTGTAATATGTCTCCCTGGTGTATGTTCTTTTCTTTGTTGGCCATTATATTCTAATGTTAAGTCCATAGAGGCTTGGATTTCTAGCATCTGTTTGCCTTGAGGCAGAATTCTCAAAGGACTTGAGATAAACATAGCTCTAATCTTTGGATTTATTTTTGTATTTTAAAAAGACTATCAAAGATATGATCATATAATACAAGTACAACACAGTAGATGCCACTAAATGATAGCTAAAGCCAAAATTCAGAATTTTCTTAATTGAGCCTCTTGAATATAAATAAAGTTCAAAAATTAGCTGTAACCATCTGAGATATTCATGTCTGTTGAAAAAGACTAATTGTTTCTAGGTCTTTTTCAAAATAGAAATAAATCTAATCATCAAAGAGTAATAAGTATGCTCATTTAAGAGAAATAATGCCTACTAAGTTCCTACTGTATAAAAGTCCTGAACACTATATATACTTCCAAACTAATAAAATGCTTTAAAATGTAAAAAACTAAAAAAAAAAATGTTGCAAAGGAAATCTGAGAACCCAAGGATGGATGGATGGATGGATATATATATATATATATATATATATATATATATATGATCACTATAAGAGAGAAGGATTATCTAATTAGTTTCCATTGAAAATTACTACACTGTAATTATAATTAAAGCCAATTATTTATCAATGCTATAACTATCTAGTATGGAATAATACTATATGATACATAAGGACAACTACAAAATATGCTTAGATAGTGTCGTATATCAGACCAACATCTACTAGCCAATGAAGCCAAAAGTCCACCTTTCAGTACAAGCAAGGCAGTGAAACTTAGCGAAATTGATACTCCCTCCCCAACAGAAATCACAAAACCTTCTGGAAGAACACCTGTCAGGAGCCAAGAACCCAAGCAGACTGTGGAAACCTGAGCATTGTTAGCCCAGAGCAAGTTCCCTTAGTTCCCGGCAGGATTTCCTGTCTGGGGGACCCAGCCACGTCCTAGGCACTTCCATGTGCTCCTTCCCTAGCAGAAGAGCGCTGCCTGTGAGCAGCATTAATCCTTTCCTGGTGTGGCAGTAAGAGAATGTGAGCCAAGCAATAGAATGAAAACCATAAATAATGAATGATAATCTTTTTAGATGTAGGAATTCCTGTGGCACAACAATTTTGGGAGAAAACACTATTAATGTGTGGACACGAACAGGCCTCATTAATAATTGATGTGATTCGACCTGAGCATGGTTTTACTTGATTCAACTAAATGCAGTTAAAATTTATGCTCTCATCTTGTCCAACATTTCAGACAAATATCTCTAGCTGGAGGAAATATGCATTTCCCAGAGAGGAACTGCCCTGCCATATCATTTCAACAAAGTGTGCAAACATCAGTTTGCCTGAGTGTGAATGGCCGGAATAATCTTATCTGCATCTATTGTTTTCTGCAGACCACACTTCTGAACCCCAGGTTTAGAGTCCTACGGCATTTAAAAGGAAGTTGAGGAATAGGTTTCTTGTGGGGAATTGCCAGTGAAACCTGTTTCTTAAACACGTATATGTCCATCAGTGTGAGGTTTTCCTTGAATAGACTATTTTAGAGCATTTTCAGGTTTACAGAAAATCGAGTAGATAGAACAGAGTATTTCCATATATCTACCCCCTCTTACCCTGTGCAGTTTCCTTATTATCTTGAAGTAGCATGGTATATTTCTTACAAATGATGGACCGGTATTAATACATCATTATTAACTAAAGACCATAAATGACCTTGGGGTTCACTTTTCCTGTGTACAGTCCTATGGGTTTTGGTGAATGTGTATGTCCTGTATGTAGCATTAAGGTATTCCATAGAGTAGTTTCACTGCCCTACAGATCCCCTGGGCTCCACCTGTTCATCCCTCCCCCACCCCCCCACCGCAGCCCTTATCCCTGGCAGCCGATCTTTTTATCATCTCTACAGGTTTGCCTGTGAATGACATGGACATGTTTTTAAGTTTTCACAGACATGAGAAATAGTTTGGGGGGTATAAACTTTCCATTTTTCAAAAGTGAGATAGCTCAGTAACAGCCCAGAATACATACGAACTCCCTCTGTTTCATGACTGCTCCATTAGCTAAAGCCCAAAATATGGAAAGAGAGATGGCATTTTAATAAAGCAGCCACTATATGTGCTCTTCATTCCAACTGTACACAGAATTTTCATTGGTAATATTTAAACAATGCAGATACATAAAAGTATGGCATATTCTTATTAGGTTCAATTTAGTAAAAGTATTTTCCTGGATTCCTTGGTTTACCTTGTTAATTCACCTATAACCAGGGCCGCGGGTTAGGCAGCATAGTTATTTCCAGCTGTGTGTTGTTGATGCTGACTAGTTAGTGTTCTTCCCGTTCTGGTTGTAAAATATCTATATTTTCCTGTTACCTGTGCTTATATCAAATGAGAGAAGGATTCTGTACATTTAAAATGCTATGTGAATATTAATTAGTATAATACTGGTCCATTAAGTTACATACATCAACAGCAGGCTGGAAGCCCATCTCTGCATCCCTGAGAAAAAGGTGATCTCAGCTGAATTTACACCAATACCAGTTTCTCCAAATCACTGCCCTGTACAGGCTTTGTAGACCAGTGACAACCATAAAAAAAACTATGGTGATGAGGAGAGAGAGGAGTATCCATGGAAAATGTTTCGTAAGATTTCATGACTCAAAAGCGCATGCCCTGTGTTCCCACTACATTCCTCACTGTTAATCTCTTTTTAGTTTTTTCTTCTTCACCTCTTACAGGCTTCTATCTTCAATCTCCTTTCCTTCCTTGCTAGTTCAAACTGTAACTGACGATGGGTTTTCTTCTCGACTGGCTTCATTTTTGCTGTTCTTCCAGGAGAAAAATCTATTACCTGCCCCGCCGGTACAAGTTCATGAGCAGGTTAGTAGCATGCTCTGTCCTGGTAGTGCTTGTCTGGTCTGTTGCCTTGCGTGCTCCAACAATGACAAAGAGAGGGACCTTTGTCACCTGGGAAAGCTGGCTGCTCTGCACATTCCAAAAATAGCCATTTCGGCTGAAAACAAAAAATCAAAGATGAAAATGTCCATCCATCTCAGAGTGTTTCCTCTGAGTTATCTACACTTGGGAGAACACGGTTCGTCTGTGGGGGTGTTTGTTTTTGTTTGTTTGTTTGTTTAAGGCCATTCTGTTAGATAAATCACCAAACATCACAGCTGTACAGAGCATTTTGGCCTGAATGTTATTTTTTCCCCCACAGAAATTCCTCTGTCCTCTATATCTTGAAATGTTGACGTGCAGACAGTCAGCCTCTCAGAAAGCTGATGGCTGCCAGGTGCCCCCATGGCTGGGGGCCTCCTTATTGTCAGTAGTTTGTTAATAAAGTACGTAGGTGTATTACCTCGCCACCTGCCCCCCGCTCTCCCCAAAGAAAACAGAATCCACTGGATGAAGATTGCCCTTACAGTGTGTCTTTCCAAAGCTTGTTTTTATTGTTTGTTGAGAAGCCAGGAAGGAAAGGGAAGCATTCATGATATTCTTTGAAACGCTACTTTTATTTTCATTAAGAAAAATTTTTGATGGCAGTTTACATTCAATGTAATTTTGTATTAGTTTCAGGTGGACAGCATAGTGCTTAGACAATCATGTACTTTTACAAAGTGTTTCCTCTGATACTTCAAGTCTGTTATGATCATTAGCCATGTAATTTTAAAATTTAATTGGTCTTATGTGACCATTCATCCTGAGCGGAGCTGATGCTTAAACTTGGAAACCACTGCATCTCCCTGAAAGTCCTATACTTAATTCAGTACTGTGGGATTTAGGATTCAAGGTCACCCTATTGTGCTCTGCAGGGTGACAAGTAAGATGATTGATAATTTCAGTGGGGCCACTCGAGTGCACATACACCAAACAGAGCGTGGTACAAGAACGGGCATCCGAGGAAATGAAATGTGGTTTCCCAGGATTCCCCTGTGCAGCAGGCTTGTCAGCAGGTCTTTTCCGTGGGCAGTAGCTGTCACATTTGGATTCACCACAAATAGATTAGTCCCTTGTGACACATCATAGATATTCCGTAAAAGCCTGGTGCGATTTGTAAGCCTGTGTCAGTAGTTCTCAAACTTCAGGCAGCCTCGGAATCACCTGGGGGACCCGGGCCTCATTCCCAGAGTGGATGGCTCAGTAGTTCCACTGTGAGGATGGAGAATTTTCATTTCTAACAGGTTCCCAAGTGAGGCTAATGCTGCTGGTTCTGAAACTCACTTTGCAAACTACTGGTCAGCATGTTAGGCCCATCTCTACCTTCTCATTAAATTAAGCATTTGTCTGACTGTGGATGGAGTGAATTAAAACCCAAATTAAGTAAAACCTGAAGGAAACACAACAGAGAGAATATTCTCCCAACTTCCATGGCACAGTGGAAATATATGATCTGTACATATTATTGAATTCCGACCTGTTAAATGCAATACATCCCAGAAGTTTAATGGAATGGGGAGTGGGGAGAATGCTTACTCTTACCCAAATTTTCCAAGCAGCCTTTATTAAATATTAAACATAAAGCCTATCTTTAAATAGGCACTAAAAGACTTTGGGCAAGTTTCTTCACGTCTTCGAGTCTTAATTTTCCACATTTGTAAAAAATGAGGATACCTATTCCCACCATGCAGGGTTGATATGAGGTCAGTGGCTAGGATGTAGTAGATCTTCAATAAATAGTATCAATGATTATTTTATGTAGTATTTGTAATAATAACCTTAGGTCTTTTTATACCTCACATTCCCTTTCTGCCTCTCTCGTTACCCATCTCCTCTCTACTCTCCATTCTATTACCCCATAGTGACTAGTCCACCAACTGTTCTGATTTTTGTCATTTTTATCCACTTAATCTTCCCTGTCCAGGCCTTGTCCACTTCTCACACAGTAACCTAATTTAAAACCAAGGGTCATTCTGGGTGATGTTCCCCCTCCTGTCATCAGTCTCTCAGATTCTACAGCTGCTGCCCTAGAAATACCTTGGAATCCATACACTATTCTGCATTCCCACTGCCATTGCCTTAGCTAAGCTCTCATTGCCTCATGCCCATTTTACATCAATTTATCTTCCTCCTCTGTTCTCACTGCCTCCCATACTCTCCTCTGGTCATCTCCCTAAGTAGAAAATCTGATCATGTCACTTGTTGGTTTCACCATAGCAGGAAAATAAAGTTAAAAGTCTTTGGCTTTAAACACGGCCTTTATGAATTGTCTTCACCCATCTCTCCCCTCCCATAACTCTTTGTACCATCCACATTGAACCACTTATGGCTTCCAAACACCTTATATTTACTTGGGTTTATGTGCCTTTGCATTCAGTGGTCCTTTGGGGAGGTTCTTTCCCATCTTGTTTACCAAGGTCGTGCCCACTCTGTCCTTAGAACTCAGTGCACATGGTTGGGCATCTTGACCAGGATAAATGATGCCCTTTCTCAGTTCTCCCACTGGCACCTATGCCCCCATCAGCCTGTGCTACAATCTATGTAGATGCCCTTCTTTCCACCCAGATGGTATATAAAGGCAAGGATTGCTCATCTAACGCTATACCCTAGCACACAGTAGGTGGAATGAGTAAATGAATGAATCTCCATACACATCTGTGAGGATTGGAGTCGGGGAAAAGCAGTGCTCAAAGAAAAGCATACAAAGACCAGGTCTGCCTGAAGTGTCAGATTTAGGTTCGAAACATTTGCTATCACTCTGGGCAATGAGGGCTTGAAAGAAAAAATTGATAAAAGGAGCCACGTTCTCTGATGGTTGGGTAGGACATCAAGTCCTGAAGGCCTGCAAAACTGATGGCAAAACAGTTGAAGCTAGAGGTAAAGCTAGAGCATACAACTTGGGGGCCAAAGGCATGGATGTAATGACTTTAGCCAGAGGAGTGGATAGAATGTCCCAGGGCAGGAGGCAGAGAGGGAGGAGGAGAGGGCCAGTGACCGCTACATTCCTTAGAAACTCTACATTAAGGAGACAGGAAGAAAGGGGAAGAGCATGAAAAAGAACAATTTAAGAAGTAGGAGGAGAACTAAGGGAGGGCAGTGTCAGGAATGAGTAGCTGCAAGAATGGTTGCTCTCCAGCTACTGATGAAGGCTAAGAGCTGAGAATCAGTTTTTGGTTACCACGGTAACCACCATGCTAGCAGTCTCCAGGGAGTGGTGGTTCCCACATTTTAGCATGCATCAGGATCGCCTGCAGGGCTTTTGTCTATTCAGGTTACTGGGTCTATTCCCAGGGTCTCTGAGATGAGGCTCAATAATGTGCTTCTCCAACAAGATCCCAAATGATGCTCATATTGCTGGTCTAGGATGACAGTTTTAGACTGATGGCCACCAAGTGGAGGGTAATGGGAACCCAACTACAGCTGGTGGGGAGCAGACGAGGTCTGGATGAATTAGAAGCATTGAGGGTTACTACTATCTTGATGAGTTTTATGGCAGAGGAAAGGAGAAAGAGGGGGTGGGATTTAGAACAGGAGCCTAGAGGAGAGAAGCAGAGGGCTGTGTCCAGCTGCATACTCTCCATGTGTGTAGAGGGGGAGTTTGGGGTGAATAAGAGCTTGGAAAATCCTTGTTTCTAGAACTGGAAGAATAACTTCCTAAACACTGATCTCTGGCCTGGAAAAGTTGATGCTACTTTGAATGCACAATTGACAACCACAGACGAATTGAGGCATTAGATGGCTCTAGGAGATTCTGGAGGTTGGGGAGGGATCCTCTAACTACAGTGTTATGACACTTGGATTCAGAATGGCCTCCTAGGGTACATTTTATTGCTTACCACGTAGAATTAAATTTTGGATATCCCTGTGGCGGCGTAACTTGGTGAAACCCAGTATCTGGTGTAAATTTTAAAAAGAAGTTTGTTGAAATGTTTTGCATGTACTTGAACTCTTGCTTCACCCCTGATCAGGCCGATTTAGATGGTGAAGAGTGTCTGTCTCTTGTGGCCAGGTCCGATATTACAAACTGAAAGGCACATGTACCATTTGTTGTTCTGGTTGTACACCAGCGATGCAATATCAATTTCCAATACTCTCAAATTCTCACAGCATACCAAGTATGGATACTTAATTTAGCTTTTAGTTTCATCCATATAAATGATATCTCATTTCATTGATTCATGAAAGGATCCCTGAAATAAACCTATCTCCTTTAAGGATAAGACAGATGATATCATTAGAAAGTTTCTGAGCAGGCAGAGAAATATCTTTTCACAAATATCTTTATTTTAGAATGTCATATGACTCCCATAAAGCATACTTATGTAATTCAGACATATACTTTTGGAGTAAACGCTCCTTTTATTTTTCGTCCAGATACTTGGTCTATTAAGTGCTGTTCTGACTAATCTTGGGACAGACTTAACAGGCATCCTAAGTTACCTCTCCCATGAACAGAGGGAATTTATCATCTTTCTTCTGCCTTGCAGTTTTTGCCTTCACCAAATAGTACAAATGTAGTCTGTAAAACAGTGAATTACAAAGTAACCTGATTGTTGTGTGGCTTGTAGCTGATGCCTCATTACTACTCATTCCTTTCCCTCTGCTCCCTGCCACCCCCCCCCCCCACACACACACTGCCTGAGGTTATTCCATGCAACTGTTGGCAGAATGAACACTGGACTCCGCTGCATTATACATTCAGCACAGTTGTAATCTTGTCAGATGAGTATGCAGGCAAAATCACATTATGCCTTGTATATTTCCATCCCAGTTTTAAAAAATTAATATACGTTAATGTTCCAAAGCCTACATACCCTTCTATAAGGTATTTAGGTTGTGTCCCAATTAGTAGGCTTGTGACCTAAAAAGGAATCATATTAACTTCCAAAGATCCCTAACTTCTGTCCAAAGAGAGGCTGTAAGTACAGGGGCATTGGCTCTAA